ATCGGTATTGACCCAAAAAATCTTTATCGGTGCCTCTCTACTTAGAGAAAATAATGGCTGTGGTATGTTTTGGTCTATTTTGTGAAATATCTTTCTGGTAGTAGCCTTGTATAAACACAAGTTAATTGGCTTAAACCAAGAGCTGTCAACTGAGGGTACACGTACCCCTGGAGGTACTTGGGATGGCCCCAGGGGTTATGCGCGGTGGCGCAAGGAAGCAGTGTGCAGCAGTGGTGCAGAATGGTGAATGGCAGTGGCAGTTGCCACTTGCAAGCTTCGTGCTCTGCACTGACATTGAGTGCCACTGCCCCACCCCTGCCACTGCCATTCACCACTGCTGCCGCCAGCTTCACATCCGACTGGCTGTCAGCGCAATCCCCCTCCCCTGTCTGGAAGGGGGTACAGTCCAGAAGGGGTACTCACCAGAAAGGGTACATTCCTTAGAGGTTGAAAAGCCCTGGTTTCAACCACGTTAGTTAATGTGTTTTAAACTTTTTTAGATGCATGGATTTAAGTTAACTGGTACACTTCTTGCATAGACAGCGGTTTTTGACTTTGGAATTATGTTGCTTTGTTCTTTGTAACACTTGGGTGCTATCTAATCACTGCCCAAAAAGCCTTTCTTTTTTAACAACTTCTAAAAGATTCCTTGGAGAGAGAAATGGATGGCAAGCTGTTGTCCCATTGCTAGTCCTCCAGCCTTTCATTCTGCTCTCATCTTTGTAACAGAAGAAATTCTTCACAGACTCTTTCAGTGCCAGGGTCTCAAACTGCAAGCTCTTATGAGGCAGTATGTGAAAACCTGCTGATTCTTGTTGAAAAGTTGACTTTCCAATAGTTTCTTAGAACTTTAAGAATGTTAGAGGAATTTAAAAGGGATCATGAAGTTCAATATCAATTTCCTACTCTTGTAGAACATTATGGGGATATAGGAGTTACTCAAGCTGTCTCTTAAAAGTTAGTAAGATTCAGTTGCACTGGCATCTTGAAGCTGAACAGCTGCATTAAGTTTTATAGTGGCATCTAGTGGTTATGCTGTTGTAGTGGAGTCCTTATCCAAGATTGGTTTGTATACAGACATCCATACTCAAAACTTGCATTTCATACTGTATACCTGGAGTATCTTCAGACTGTCTTAAACATTTTAACTTCTCAGCTCCATTTTAAAAATACTTTATTTTTTTTATTTCACTACTGTATATCTGGTTATCATTATTTATACAGCACTCAGGTATGGTAGGTTCTTTGATACACAAAATCAGGGGGGGTTTTCTTTTGTTTCCTTTTTTTAAAAAGCTTTCAGAATATCTTTTTTTTTCAGAAACTATTTTTTAATGGGATCATTTTGCACTAATGGAAGGAATTGTGTCCATCCAAGTATTTGTTGGCCTGTACTGTGTGATACTCTTCCTTTAGTTGTTGACAAGAGCTGCATAATTTCCTGTAATAGACAAGTATTTGTAAATTGTTCTTTGAATGCATTAGATCTAATGATACACTAATAATGTGGCTCCCCATCTTTTTCACTTTGTGGACCACTTTGCTTTGCACCTTCTAGTCCTGTATCTGTTTCTCATGATACTTCATTCCGTGAGCTACCACTTCACTCTCACAAGGAGCATTTTTTATTTGGCACACTTCTATGTCTTCTTTTCAGCTGTTGATTAACAGTCTTGGACTACAAGATTAACATTAGACTGAAGGTCTTGATTCTCATTTGGGGAAAAAAATAAGTATCCAAGCTTCCTTGTTTGTACATATCTTCCATGAATGTGCTTGGATTTGCCTGGGGGAGGCGACACTAAGAAACAGATAACTTGAGGCTAAAAGAAATCCTGTTCTTCTAACACCTCTAGTATTATCTTAAGGTGGAGTACTTGCATGCACTCAAATGCACATGTAGACTGTGATTGGGGCTGGATGGGGCATAAGGGTGCTACAGTGCCAGGGGTTGCCTGTTGGCTAGCCATATGCTGTAGCACGCTTGTGCCCCAGCCAGCCCTGCTGCTCCAGGTCAGCTGCTCCCAAGTGCAGTATCTTTGCCTGCCCAGGACCACCCCAGCTCAAATTGCTATGGTCCTGGGTGACGTGAAGACACTGTACCCAGAAGCAGCTGATTCTGGTGTGAACTGTGCTAGAGTTTATTCAGGTACATTAATATCATGTGTAGATGCACCCACTAAATAATAATTTTTATTTTTTAACCCTGTGTCTTTCCCAACTTTGTTTTTTCACAAGAATATTGCCTCCTATATAACTTAAAATAAACACCTGCATTGGTTTTCTGTTTTCACTCCTAGATCAACTGGTTATTCTGAAGTAATAGTTGTAGTTGGAGGCTGCGAACGAGTTGGGGGTTTTAATCTGCCATATACTGAATGCTATGATCCTGTGACAGGAGAGTGGAAATCTCTGGCTAAACTCCCGGAATTTACGAAGTCTGAATATGCAGTATGTGCTCTGCGGAATGATATCCTAGTTTCAGGTAAATATAGTGCCAGGAACTTTAAGAACTCTTTCTTCTTCCTTTTTCTTTTCAAGAATACTCCATAGTCTTGGCACAACGTTTTACAGTTCTTTTGCTCTTTGAACTTTCAGAAACTGCTGAAATGCAGACTTCATGATCTATATCCCTAACCTTTATATTGATTACCTAATCTGTTTCTCCAGAAATGTTGACCATAACTCCTTGGCTATATTTTTACAGTGACCTGTATGTTTTCCTCCCTTTTTTGTTTTCAGTGAGTAATCATTTATAGCTGTGGCCAAGGCTTTATCTGAGTTTAAGGCGATGCAGAGGTCTTATTTAACATAGCTAAATGACTTTATGAACTAAAGTACTAGTCCACAACCTAGTACGTCCCCGTCTGCACAAATTAAGAATTTGGCTTTTAAATGATATCGCATATTCCAGTGTGAAAACTGATAAAGCCTGTTTCAGTGCCAAGAGTATAAAATGGAGACTCTTCAGTTGGAGCTGGACGTGCTGAGCACCTGTATCTTCCATTGACCTCACTAGTTCAGGCCCTTAGAATAGATAGTAAGTTGGATCTGTGCCTGTCATGTGAATCTGTGGTAATATACTTATTAACTAAATGATCTCTACCTACCCATTATCTCTGTTTGCTCAAAGTGACTGTCATCTAAGTGTATCATATTTTTTTCATTTGAACAGTCAGTGGAACTGAGAGGATAGATGCATGCTCAAAGAGAGAAACAGCCAGCATGAGGTATATGTTTCATAGTACACAAATTTTTAAAATCAGTGTATCAGTGGTTCACTCATGCAATTTGAGCTCAAAGGGTATGAGAAAAAAACTGAAGAGTGTGAGAAAATGCCAGTAAAACATCACTCAACCTCAAAAAATATTTTGCTACGAAAAGCTGTATATATTTAATATTTATTTGTTCAGCATACTTATTTTGAATGTTTTGCAGGATAAAACAGCACTCCTCATCATTCAGTTTCACTTAACTGTATTTACTGTTATCTTCACATTGATTAGGAACATTTTAGAAGTTTTAGGCAATTCGATGGACTTTTGAAAGCCTTAAATTTGTGCACATAAACCTATATTAGACGTATAAGCTATAATATTTTCCATGGTCTGCTATAGTGGAGCATGTCAGAGTTTAGCAGTTCTTTAATAACTACCTTAAGCAAAGACTCATTGATTTTTTCA